CCACACCTATGTCCTACTACCAATACAATATTGCTCTTCAGGTTCTCAATCACACTTACTGTAGTTACCTCTGTGTTCCTATGTATCTTGGAGCCACACATAGTAAAAACAAGCTACTATACACGTAGCAATCATCAATCTATCCTTCCTGTCTTTTCCTTTCTACATTTTCCAAATCAGTTATTGATGCAAAGCCTTATGCATAGATGCAACAAAAGAACAAGTGCAGAATAAGTGGTCAATAGTTTCAACTTTATTCTCACACATCACACACTTAGTATCAATATCCATGAATCTACTTATCTTATCATTGCTAAGGGTTCTCCTTTTAATTTCCAGATAAGCCAAGCAATGACCTATGTTTGGGTGTAGGCCATTTGTTCCCAACCAGATCATCCCAATCAACCTTTGTGTGCACTCCTTTAAGCCATTCATATCTTGTGTTGACATCATAACTAGCCACTACATTAATGCCTTGAAACAACCTTCTTGTTTGGATCATTTTCTTTGTAACACCCCAACTGGCGTAACCCAAACCAATGGGTTAGCGAACCGGGTTGTTACTAAGTTGGTATTCGCATGCATAAATTTTCTTTTCTAAAATAAACGATTAAATCAATTATAAAATTCGTTCGTAAGAGTTTAAACTAAACCAAAATTCACCGGAGTAATAAAATAAATCCAAACATCGCGAAAGCATAAGAAAAGCAAAAGAATCCAACACTCCATATAACTGAATAAAATAAAGTAGTTTAATTATGAAAGTAAACAGGAGCCATCTAGCCACACCACCACTTCACTACCCTCAGGGTTGCCCATTTAAATTTGTGTTCCTACCTGCGTGCAGTCAAACAACAACGACTACACGCTCAGCGAAACGCTGAGTGAAAATGTACCTACGCCAGCATTAACTCACAGAATAACACCACAATAGCATACATTTAAACAACAACATGTGATCACGGAGAAAAATAGCTTAAATAAACATATTTATATTAACACCTTCCATTTAAACATAATGTCCTTATTTTATTTCACATCAACTAGCTTTGAGTCATGGCACCCCAAGCGATGCTATAAAAGGGCCAGCTCAGAAACCCAAAAGAGATTCACTTTGGGCGGGTTGAAGCCCCTGTCCCTACGATGCCAGGACAGGTCGCGAACTTCCGTACGTACGTTTTTATCCCAAGACCACCGGGTGTGCGACGACACCCCACAATGGCCAATTTCCTAATCATATCCTATTGGTGATTCAATTAGTCAATCCAGTTCAGGTTCGCCTAATTATACCAGGTGGCCTATTTCCCATATATTATTCATAATCCACAATTTTCACCAATGAGATCAAATTAATTTAAATCTCAGTTCACAATTCACAACAAATCACGTAGCGGCCTATCCGGGTCGAAGACCCGCGATTATCGTCATGCATAATCAACACACCCGAATTACAATCAACCCAACTTACCTGCGCGGAATCGAGCCCAAGGAATAGATCCTCAAGCTCGCGTTGACCAGCCCAATAATTAATTAATTTTATAAATTCATTAAAATATTAAGCCGGGTTTCGGGGCATTACATTCTTCCAGTAGTAGCAATCATCATGTTTGGGAGAGTATTCCCAGACAGTAGTCCCCTTCAAATATTTGTTATGGATCCATTTGACCCATAATGTATCTTTTTTATTAGCTACATCCTAAATCAGTTTCATGATACAAGCTTGGTTCCATTTTAACAGGTTCTTCAGGCCCAATCCACCTTCCTGTTTAGGCAGACACACTTCCTCCCAATTGATAAGAGGACATTTTTTGTACTCAGATGAGGAACTCCAAAGATAATTTCTACAAAAGGGTCATAACCTTCTTCATTACGTTATAAGGTAACAAGAAAATCCTACTCCAAAGGAATATAACCCCATACAACACCGAGTTAATTAACTTAGCTCTACCAGCATTGAATTTTTTTTGGAGATCCAAGAAGATATCTGCCTTGTTAGCTTTTCCACCAGAATATCACATTCCCTTTCACTAATTCTAAAAGCTGAGATGGGATTAGATACACCACCACAAAGAGTTGAGACTTATCATCGTTAATGATTAATCCAGTAGTTTTCTTGAAATGTATTAGACTAAAGAGGATGAAATCAATAGATTCAACATCAGCCTTGCAAGCAACTATTAAATCATCATCAAGCATAATATTAATTAACTCGAGGGACTTACACTTGGGATGAAACTTAAATATGTCATTTTTGGAATAGAAAGAGAAGGCTCTTGTTAAGTACTCTATGACAAGGGTGAAGAGCAAGGGAGAAATTGGTTCTCCTCTTTTAATACCCTTACCTCTCTTAAAGTACCCAAAAATTTCCCCATCCAATTCTATTGAGTAAGCTACACTTGTCACACAAAATTGAATCCATGTGATAAATTTCTTTAGGAATTTCAGGGCTTCCATGAAATTGAAATAATCCCTTCCAACTTACATCTTTATAAATTTATCTCTTAATGAATTTATAAAAAGAACATGCTTTTATCAAGGTATTGGTTTTTTGTTTCAAGTATCCAAAGGCAACTTTATCAAGAAAATTTATATTTTTGTGTGAATAGTACACAAGTTTGGTCTCGAAATTTTACCTTAAATGTAAATTTTTGATGGACATCATGTTGGGATTTTAAGCACGTAAAACACTGAAAATATTGAGAACACTAGAAAAATGAAAGAGCAAACACAAGAAGAATATATGTGAGAAAAAATATATTTTCGCTATTTCAGGACAAAATACAAAAACTCTCTCTGTTTACGAGGCTGAATTCTAGACACTCATAAATAGGTCTTTCCACACCCTATACACACATGTATTTTTCATAGTAACTAAATACGAGTTACTCCCTACACTCACCCACACTCACCAAGACCCCTTGAATTTTTCTGATGGTATTCTTGTGTAGAAACTCTCTTTTCCTCACACACACACACGCTCTCTCTCTCTGGTGGTGTGTAAACCACACACTAGCTCCATGACCAATTAAATAGCCAAACAATGGAGGCGATCACCACAACAAATCAATGAAGAATATCCAAGTTTGGATCTGGCTTTTGTGTCGTCCAGATCTTGAAGACTGTCCGCATCTTCAACTTGGACACCTTTACCATTTACCTTTTTCTTCTTTCTTTTTCTTTTGAATATTTAATCAATTTCTCAACAAACTCTAACTTGATTAAATAATCAATAACATTATAACTCCACCTCACTTATCCCGTAAGAACATTGTTACCCTGAAAGAATAAAAATTCTCCTTGGCTTTATCCCAGTCTGCTCCACCAAGATCACAACCAACCTAAAAATTTTCTTGTGACCTATCTTGCCCAAATTCTGCAACATCTCTACCACCACGTGTTACCTCCGTGACTCCACCTTTCTAGATACCACAAGCTCCCCGGTCACTTCTAGTTGTCGTTGAGTAACCGGGGCTCCATCCTGACCAACCTGTTAAGATCACAACCACTACTTTAGCTTCTCGGAGTTTGAACCCTCCACCTTGAGAAAAAACGACGACTCACGTTCGTTTTCACACTAGGACCAATCACTCTGAGACCACCCATCTAGTAATTACCTTGTTTCAATCCGCTCACCTTGCACCACCGCAAAAACACCTGCAAGACATGACGTCCTACCACCTCATGCCGGTAAGACTTTCCAGACAATGCATTTATCGCAGATCTCCACTCTGCTAGACCACATGTCTCCTTCGGTCCGATTCCCGTACCATACTTCACAAAGACAGCATGTCGCTTCGTACACGGTCCACATGTCATCCACTTTGTTCCTGAAGTCCCATGGTCGTCAACTAGCCCAAACCGGCCAGTCGTGGGCTCTCAAAATATCTCCTTTTACCACCAAATCCCTCCAGCCTAGCGCAACCTGGCTCAGATACTAATTGCTGGGATTTTAAGCGCGTAAGACAAGAAAATATTGGGAACACCAGAAAAATGAAAGAACAAACACAAGAAGAATATATGAGAGAAAATTATATATTTCTACTATTTATGGACAACAACAACAACCCAGGTGAATCCCACAACAGTAGGATCTAGGGAGGGTGTGTGTACGCAGACCTTGCCCCTACTATTTATGGACAATATACAAAAACTTTCCCTCTGTTTATGAGGCTAAATTCCAGACACTAATAAATAGATCTTTCCACACCCTATGCACAGATGTATTTTTCGAGTAACTAAATACTAGTTACTCCCTACACTCACCCGCACTCACCATCAGGCAAAGAACCCAAATTATTTTTTGATGAAGTACTTAAGCTTCTGCACTATTTTGTTAACTCTGATTGATGTTTCAAATAATGTTCTGAATTATTTTATTTTAAATTGTTTAAAAATTATTGTGTTTGGATGCTAATCATGTGTTTGGATGACATGACAACTCGATTCGATAGTCCGTGTATTCGGGTTATGCGAATCATGGTTGCGATGACCGCGATAGTGCCGACCGTGGCAGTGTTAGTGACAGCAACAATAATAATTTAGATGGTGGCCGCACTTAACTATTCAGAAGTTGCCAAACAGCCCTTAAGTTAATTACTCCTATTTAGGAGAGTTTATGTTTCAACTCTTATTTTGAGGATTTGTTATATATTTTACTACTACTTTGGTCCTTCTCCCTCAATTCTACCCCTCACTCTCCCCCTCCTTTGTCATACTCCCTCTGTCCCTATTTCGATTACAAAATAGGAATTACGAGGTAAAATCCCACGATTTTTGAAAATATTTTATTTACAAATTAATACATCAATAAGGAAAAAAATGATATGTTATTGTAAAAAATTACATAAAAAATTCTACAAAATAAGAGATGACAAAAATATTTTATTTTATCAAATAATTAATGAAACATACAAATAAATAAAAATTATTGAGAAAATAGAGAAAATAAAATTGTTATAAATTTATTCTCCTCCATATCCTCATTAATGATGCTCTAACAGTGGTGACCTGACCTAAACCTGTTTGGGATACTCTCTTCTCTTCTGAGTTCGGACTTCAACAAGTTGGTAGTCGGGGAGAACACAGCGACTTAGGGAGCGATGGCCGGGGAAGAGAAGCGGCACCAGATGATGCAGAATCTCTTCGGAGAACAGTCCGAAGAAGAAGACGAGGAAGAGGAGGAGGAGGAGGATGATGAGGTCGAACCTGAGCATGACTCGAACACGCAATCTGGACACGTTTCGGTTCGAAATTTCCTTCATGCTGTTAAAGTTTTCGCATTTACTATTTGAAACCTAGTTCAATGAAATTCATTGCAATTATAGTAAAATTTGAGTTCCTCTGTTTCCGCTGATCTTCAAAATTGTTCATTGATTTGCGTTGATATATATATTTGATGCGTATACAGATGCCATTCTTTAATAGTCAAAATTTCGAGTTTTCTTTTGACTGTAAAGATGCTTATATTCTACAGGCTGATACTCTGAATTTCCGGTAGATTATTAGTTGGGCATCTTTGAGCACTCAATTTGGTAATAGAAGAAATAATATTACGAGGTTTAGATGTCTTTATTCATTCCATGTATGTTGTTCTTGTTCCATTGATTTTGAAGCTGTTTCGATTGGGTGAATTGGTGCATTTGTTCATGTTAGATAATACGTAGTAATTTTGATCCATCCAAAATTGTGCATTTGGCTTTTTTTATTTGTTGAACCAATGTACTTCATTTCATCAAACAACCACCCGTATTACAAAAAAACAACTAAGAACGAAAAAACTTAGTAGATCGGTAGCCTACCATTACACGATATAGTTTTCTTTAAGCTTGTAGTTTATATAGTAATTGATTTGGTGTTGCGCATAGCCAACACAGTTTTCCCCTTTCATCTCTCTCTCTCTCTCTCTCTCTCTCTCTCTCTCTCTCTTCTAGAACACTTTGTGATTCCTAGCCTTCCAAATAGTGTAACAAATTCCTGCCCAAGCCGCAATCATACTGCCCCTTTGCTTCTTGCTTCAATGCCCATAATACTCACGCCCATCCTATAGGCTATTCGAACTACTGTAAAAGTTTGACCATCAAAAAATTCTGTGGTAGATATTCCTAGCAAAAGTACACCTCCAAAAGAAATGGTCCCTGTCCTCCCTTTCCTATCCACATAGGCCACACACCACATTAAAATCTCTATATTTACTCACTCTACTTAGGCTTACACTTCAAAGTGCCTCAATGCATACGCCTCAACGTGTCTCAAGGCGTGCACCCAAAGTGCCTCAAGGTTTATGCCTCAAGGCTTGCCCCTCAAAGTGCCTCAAGGCATATGTCTTGCCTCTCCAGAATGTCATCAAGCATTGTTGGAGGAGACACTTAAGGCTATAATGATCTTTTCTATTCGGATGAGAAAAGGACGATGCCATAAATAGTGTCTCCAATGATGGACAGCTTGAGCCAAGACAAAGTCCTTGTTCATAGGTAGGCAATATCTTGCGTCTCTCACTCTCGGCCATCTTGTGTTCGAGAAAGGCAAGTAGGTGTGTAAGGCGAGTGGGATTCCTTTCTGTTACAGCATGACACCAATGAGAACTTCTGAGACATCACATCCTACTAATAGAATCAAGAAATTAAGTAGATGTAAAACCAGGGCAGAAGACAATGCAGTCTTAATGGACTTCCATGCAACTTTTTTCCATCATTCTAAGGGAACAATTTACAACAGAGAAGGTTAGTTAATGGGGCGTGGGCATCTTTGACCCCGCAAGATCCAAAATTCCTTGTAGGCCACTCTGTGTTTGTGGCTTGTGGCACATGCTACTTCCAAACTACTTCCAGCTTTGAGCTATTCACGAACACTCTATCATCCAAAATCACATTAAGAAACTTATCTCTTCCCGAACAGACACTAAGCCCGTTCAATAAAATAGCCATGCGCTCCTCAACAGAAAGGCCATTGGGACTCATCCGGATTTGTCGAAGACACTCTACCTAAGTTCGGCTTTCAATTAGTATGTCATCAAATTATACAATGAAAAACTTATACAAATAAGGGCCAAACACCTTGTTCATCAAAGCTTGAAGTACGAAGGGTGCATCAGACAATCCAATGGCATGACCAAAATCATGAAATGCCTGTGATGAGTCCCAAAGGTCATTTTTTAAATTTCTGGAAGCTCTATCTGGACTAGATTATTGAACTCACAATGAACTTCTAACAAATCACCACAACTATCACTGTTACCATACATGTGGACCGATGATGAATGCAGGTATTTGCTGGGATGAAATGATACTTGTTTTGTAACCTATTGAGACATTGTTATTCAATCTCATCCTTCTGATTTTTGAATTTGTGATTTTGTGGTAATAATAAAATCTGACCAAGCCAGCATCACATGGGCAATACGGCTGGAGTGAACTTGGTTATGCAAAAATATCCTCAAATTCCATCATAAGCTCATCCAAAGCTTTCACATCTGATTAAACTTTCTGCATGTGGCTCCATAGTGCATCTCCTTTGCAATAGGCAGCGTTCACTTGCAAAGGGATCATATACTTGTATATAAGCACTCAAAAATCCATAAGATTACTTGTAACATTTTCGTAGAGTGTATATAAGCGTTCTACATCCTTTATGTTATAAAATTCTACCGTTTACGGAAGCGAATAATTCTACACTTAATAATCATTATTTGATTATTATAAGATGTTGAGGATAACCTTAGTCCTTACTAAAATCCTAGGTTTGTTGAGAGGGGGATAGCCTATTCAAATTCTTGAATGTAAATTATTAAGGATAGCTGGTATAAAATCCTTCATTGTAAGGGGTCGGGATGTCCGTTGAGAACTTGCAAAAGTCATTGGCAAGATTTATTTGACAAGCACCAACTTTTGTAACCTTCAAAAGATTCAAAGTCAATGTTTAGTGGATCTCCACCATAGTTTGAAAAGTCAAATCTAGGAGGCTTTAAAAAGCTGGTACTGGGTTGGTGTTCTTTTGGGGTGGAACTGGTTAGGGTCATGTGAATGGGTTTGCAATTCTATGTACAGGTGGTGGTAATCTGTGTGTTGGGTGTTGGTTTGTTCACGAGATCTTGAAATATTTGGCAGAGTTCATCTTGGATTTTTTGGAGTTGTAAGACTACTCTGAGAGGCCCTTCACGGACTCCACTTTAGCTGCCAATGATTCGGTGCACTAGACCGAAGCCTGCAAGGTCCAAAATCCAAATATCAGCTTGTACGGTTTTCAATTCGCCCATGACAGTTGGCAATACAAGCAAAATGCTATGCTCCTGGGTGTGATTCCTCATCGTAGGGTGTTCTTTGTAGAATGAAGGGGTTGCTAAGATCTGTGACTTACCTATGGCTGTTGTGATTTATGGGAAGAGCATAGTGCATGTATTAACTTTCTAAGGATCTTGTAGTGATTAGGTGTAATAATAATGAAAGAACAATTCAGAGGTTTTAATTTGACATGCTCAAGTTTTCTCAACTCCCTTTAAGAATCAATTTTAACTTGTATTTTCTTGAACACATACTGCACATAAATAATATCATAGGGTGAAGGCTGTCGGGGTGACTCTGCTCCCTTCTCGGTGGAGATGGGGTTACACCTGGGATCAGCCTTTAGTCCTTTCCTGTTTGAATTGGTGATGGATGTTATCGCGCAGCATATCCAGGGGGAAGTACATTGGTGCATGCTATTTGCCGACAATATTGTATTGATTGATGAGTCATGTGAATGACTCAATGATAAGTTGAAAGGTTTCAGATTGAGCAGGACTAAGGCTGAGTACGTTGAATGATGCTTGAGTGGGTGGGAGACTCAGTCGGGTGTGAAAGGATTGATTCACACCCAATGCCCAAAAGAGATAGGTTTTAGTACCTTTGGTTTGATGATTCAGGCCGACTGGGAGATTGATGGGGATTATGTTCACCGTATTGGAGCTGCTTGTGCAAAGTGGAGGCTAGCCTCAGGCGTCCTTTGCGACAAGAAGATAATGTCTAACTTGAAAGGGAAGTTTTATCTGACAGTGGTCAAACTGACTATATTATACGGAGCAAGGTGGACTGTGAAGAAAACTCACATTCGTCAGTTTCAAGTGGCAGAGATGAGAATGTTGTGGTGGATGTGTGGTCATATGAGGATGGATAAGGTCCGGAACGAGGTTATTCGGGGTAGGGTGGAAATGGTACCTATGGAAGATAAGCTGTCAGAAGCTAGGCCAAGGTGGTTGGGCACGTCACGAGGAGGGGTGAAGAGGCCTCTGTAGCGAGGTGTGTAAGGATATGGGAGAGGCTTACGGTAGAGGGCGTGAAGAGGGTAGAGGTAGACCTACGAGTTCAGGATTTTGCCGAGGATAAGGCCTTAGATAGGGACGCATGGAGATTTAGGATTAAAGTAATTGGGCAGACGTGTGGGCCTTAATTTGTATTTTTTGCTAGTTTGTTTTTATGCCATAGTCTATTGCACGTGCTTGTGTACTTTCTCTGCATTATGTCTAGTTCTCAAAGTCACCTTGTATGCTTAATTTCTCTATGTTTGTACTTTGTTCGTGCTTCAGTGGTTTCCTTGTTTGTACTTCAGTATCTGAGTGGGGTCTCTTGGAAACAATCTCTCTACTTTATATTCATAGTAGGGGTAATGCCTACATACACACACCCTCCTCAAGCCCTGTTACACTTCACTGGGTTTGTTGTTGTTGTAGGAAGTAAAAGTCAAATGAAAATAATTGAGTGAAATGAAGAGTTTGAAAGGAAAGAAAAGTAAATCAATTTGCTGCATGATCATAGCTTGACTCCATTACTGTCTTAATCTTTGTGGCAACTTGTTGCCTGCAAAATAATTGGTTTCCAACTTTCCTTGCACAGCAATTTCCCCAAAATCTCTCTGTCCGCTCCTCTGTGCTTCCTCCTTTGGTAAGTCAGACCCACGAACGTATCGAGGAAGGGGAAGAAGAGGGGGAGGGAGAAGGAGAAGGGGAGGGGGAAGGTGAACTTCATCTGGAGTCAGAGAGGGAAAGTGATGGCGATATGCAGGATGGGGATGATCATGGAGAAAGTCAGTCTGAAAGCAATCAGAGTGTTCATCAAAGAGAAGACAGTCATGGGCAAGACAGCATGTCTGATGAAAACAAGGAATATGGTCAAAGTGCATCAGACAGGTCAGAGAAAGATTCTGCTGATATTGATGAAGAAGTTAACCAAGCTAGAAGTGAAAGGTATTGCACCAATCCCCCCTACCCCACACCCCTTCCCTCCCACCGTTCCTCTCCTTCATACTCCATTTTGCTTGCACTACTACATAACATAACTAAGTGGTAGGTTTTTTCTTGGTCTTTGCCATAGTTCCAATGGCTGCTACAGAAGTCGCTATGCAACTACCAGGTTTTTTATATATAAACAAAAAACAACCTGTTTCTTTAGGATGTGAGATTAAGACTTTGGTTCTTTATGGTATGTTTGGATTGAAGAGAATGGGGACGGGAAGGGAGAACACTTAACTTCTTTCTTTATCTAATTCTTCAATAAATTAAACATACTGGTATGAGGTAAGACAACAAATATTTTTCAAATAAGTTTTTATACTCCACAATATTTACCATCCCTCCATATGCTTTGTAATCCAAAACACTGTTGTCATTTATTGTAATCCTCCCTTTCCTTTACGGTTTACGTTTACCAAATCTTAATGGTGTTTGATCATTTCATTTCCCATCTATAATACATCAATACCCTTTGTTCCCTTCCCCTACACCCCAACCCCCCATCTCGCTCCCGTCCATGACAAAAACATTTATTGGAGTATATTGTTTGAGTTTAAATGGTTTTCAATGGATTTTATTAAATTTTTTGGGCATCCTCCTCACAGTAGATCCCCCTTGGAGGAGAAAGATGAGGTGCCTGTTTCAAGCTCAGCTCCAGAAATTCGAGATGTGTTTGGGGACTCTGAAGATGAAGAGCCAACCATTGGCGACTCTGATGATGAAGGGCCAACCAAGCTTGGTGCTCGGAATGAAATGGGTGAAGATGAAGAGCCAACTATTGGGGACTCAGATGATGAAGGGCCAACCAGGTTCAGTGTTCAGAATGAAATGGGTGAAGAGTCAAATGTGTGAAAATTTATCAATAATTACTGTAATTGAGATCTCCACTTTGACACTGGAATTGTATGTTGTTGATCTGTCATTTTGTTTGTTCAGCAGAGATCCCCTTTTGAAGAGGAAGGGATTGATGAAAAGGAATTGGGACCAGAGGATATGGTGCCTGATGAATATGGTCATTATGAGTCTGAAGGAGATCGCGTTGATAAGAAACACAAGGAAAAACCGATTGGCCCACCATTAGAGCTTGAGATCCCACTGCAGCATCCTCCGGCTCTTCCTGAAAAGGTTATATCTGTTATCTTTTGTTTTCTGCCCTATTTTGATGTATGAACTATTCCCAATTTCAGGCATCTTTTCTTCATTTTGATCCTACTGGGATCTATACTGATCTTTCTTCCAAATACAATGTACAGCATAACAGCCATATGCTCCAAAAGCTAAAGCTTTAAGACTCCCATCTTTATTAGCCAACACATTTATGCTTGTAGTAACAGCTTAAAGCTTGTTGCACTTTATCAATTTATAGCATACCCAAACTTTTGTTCTTTCTCATTTACATTAGTGTGAGTTTTCTCAGAACCACCTATAGCCAATGGAACTGAAAAAAAGTCATTTTTGACAATGCTTTAGTTTTGGGTGAATAATGGATTAAATCAAATTGGCACATTGAACTTTCCTGACTTCTTAATTTCTGTGATGCTTTGGGGAGATAATGTAGCAATGCATTGAGGGTGTAACGGAAACAGCCTCTTTGTTTTCTACAGAGTTGAGTTTGTGAAGTTGAAGTTATACTGGGTCTTGTTGTTGTTGCTGCTGCTGTTGCAGTTGTGCGTTTTCTCAGTACTGCTGTCTTTCTTGATGAATCCAACATTGATCCGCACAGCATGTTTTATACTTTATTGGAATACTATTTGAGACATTTTATTGGTTTTACTACACATTTGCTTTTGCAGATGCACTTGATCAAAGTTTCAAATATAATGGGAATTGATTCAAAGCCCTTTGATCCAAAGAAGTATGTGGAGGAGAATGTTTTCGTTAAAGACGAATCTGGATCCAATAAGCGTATTAGCTTGGTGAATAATATTGTTAGGTGGAGAGAAGTGAAGAATCCCGATGGGACAAAATCTGTAAGTGGACTTGTGGATATGTTTTTATGCTCATTTTGTTTACAGCCCTGTTGCCATATGCTGGAATGCTTTATTCTAGCTCTTGGTTTCTATTCTAATCATATACACTAAGGGCACAAGGTGCATAGAGGTACTACTGTACTGAGTTGCCTCGAAGCACAAGGTGTACTGTAAACTTTCCAAACGCATACAAAACACAACCCACGTTAAGAATGTTGCCTTAATTAAGATGATATAAAATTCATGCTCTCTTTCAGTGTGACTGTGTCTTCCACATAACTATGAAGTTGGTCTATAGAAGAAAATCTTAAAACAAATTTGGAAGAACACAAAACATATAGCTTAACAGCCAAACAAATTTGGTCCATGGTCTGATCGTAAACCCTATCTTTGAAAGAAAGAAAAATATATACATAACAGCCAGAAAAAGCTATGCTGAAATAGACTAGGTCAGAGATATTGGTGAATCTTGAGGGAGAGGTGGCAAATTGGGGGGGGGGGGAGGGGGGATGAACAAACCTCGTGGCCTAGAAGACTTGAATAGCTGCTTTTGGATTTTTATTGAAAAGTGAAATCATTACACCAATTTATAAAGAAACGCATGCGTCTTTGCAAACATCGCCTGCCTCACATTGTCACAGGAGCCACACACTTAGTCTACCGCCTTGGGCATGCTTTTCACACATTAAATCTCTCTCAGTGTTTGTTTCTTATTTTGCTTCATATACCAAGTGACTACCAATTGTGCCAGATTGGATACACTCTAGGGTAGAAGCAGCTATGTTATGATGGAGATTGTGATGCTTAAGTTTTGCTACTTAGTACTTATTGGAAGAACTTCTCTTTGTCCAGATAGAAAGCAATGCACGTTTTGTGCATTGGTCAGATGGTAGCATTCAGCTAATGATAGGAAATGAGGTTCTTGACACAACTATTCAAGATGCAGAGCATGATCAAACACACCTCTTTCTTAGGCACGGAAAGGTATCTCTTGTGTGCTGATGCTAGCTTAAATTTCAGTTTTATCTCTTTTTTATTCCTTCAGTAGTTGGGTAGGCGCCTTGGGCTAGGCATAGTGTTCTGTACTTGTGTGCCTTGTTTGACTCATATGCTTGGTGCTTTTGATTGCAATACTGTTCCTTCATTAACTGTAGTTTGTTCTGTGCCTCAGTGTGTGTATTGCTTTATTTGTGCTTGTTCTGCTTTTTGTATTTCCTGTGATCTTTTTATCCATGCAGCTTGAGCCGGGGGTCTCTTGAAAACAACCTTTCTACTTTAGAGTAGGGGCAAGGTCTGCGTACACACACCCTCCGCAGACCCTACTTTCGTGGGATCCAACTGGGTTGTGGTTGTTGTTATTCCTTCATTTGTGGTTGATGCTAGCTGAAGCCAGACCACAATGAAGTTGTGATTAAGTTTTGTTGTTGATGCTAGTTGCTGACAGCCTATTGCACAGACTTAATATTTATTTTTAGATTGCTATAAAATGTCAATAAGCAATGAGTTTCTACTTTCTATTTATTTATTTTGAAAATGTATGTTTCTATAGATTAGTTTAAAATGTGATATTTTCTTTGTGCTGCTGCAAATTGACAACAGTGTAATTCGAGTGCAATCAACTATGCTGTGTTTATATGAACTACTGTCTCAATCAAATTTTGTATTTTGTGCGTATAATAATGCAGGGGATACTACAATCCCAGGGGAGAGTTTTAAGCAAGATGAAGTTTATGCCTTCATCTTTGTCATCTAATTCTCATAGATTGCTGACTGCTTTGGTTGATTCACGACACAAGAAGGTTTATAAGGTTAAGAACTGTGTCACTGACATTGATCCTGAAAGAGAGAAAGAGCAAAAGGAAAGGGTAAGGAAATATTTGTTTTTGGGTGCAGTTTTCTTTCAAATCATAATTCTTAGTGATTGGTTACTGAGTGTAATTTTTTTCAATGGTTAAGGCTGAAAGTCAAATGATCAGAGCAAGTGTGAGCCTCAACAGGAAGAAGGAAAAGGTTAGCCGTAAATACACGCCTAGTGTTCGTAGGGAGCGTCAACTTTCACCAGGTTTCCTGGAGGATGGCCCTGAGGAGGTACCCCCCCAAAATCCTCCTTGCTAGTTCACTTTTTCGAAGCACTTGACACAAAAAAAAGTATGACGTATTTCCAAAACTTTAACTCCCGTTTAGTGGAGGCCGATGATTTATTCTATAGGCCTTGGACCCTAGTAAAAACGTTGCACTTTTTTTATTATTACTGTTTTAGGAAGAGGAGGCAGATTATTACGAGCATCGGAAGCCTGCAGCTCGGCATCGCTTTGATGAAGACCTTGAAAGGGAGGCTCAAGCTGAGAGGCGAATAATGAATGCCAAAAAGGTGAGCAAAAATACGGTCCCTTATCCCTATTTTATAAAGTATTATTAGAAATACATCTGTCTGGTGAATTTATCTGAAATCTATTGTCCCGCAGAGAGAGATTCCAAGGAAGGTATCAATGCCAGCTGCAAAACCTTCTAAACGCCCAATAGATTTCTCTGAAAGCGAGGAGTCTGAGTATGAAACTGAGGGTGAAGAAGAGAAGGCCAATGAGTATGAAGAGGAAGAGCATGAACAAGAGGAAGAGGCATATGAAGAATCAGAAGAGGAAGCTGAGGTAAGGAAACGATACATCTCTCG